AACACATACTTAAACACACTCAGTTTTCTGACGGCAGTAATACTTGCTGACATAAACACACTCAGTTTGCGCAATCACCTCAATGTATGAGCTAAATCATTCTGCTGTTCCTCAATTCGTTTGTACTCCTCCAGTAATTGATGCCTTAAACGATGTAAAAAAAGCTAGATGAGAAGAACAAGATGAAAAGTTTACAGAAATACCATACCACTTGAAGGGAAGGAATATGATTAGGAGAAGAGGAAACAAAGCTTAAGAAAAGGAAGGAACGAAATTAGATTAAACCAAAAATAGAAGTTAGATAATGGAAAGAAAAAAGAGCTTGTCGAAGAATAAGAAGGCAAAAGACGAAAAATTAGAAGTAGATGAAAAACTGAAAAAAACAATACTAGAAGTCTAACATTCTCACTTAGCCTTTCACGTCGTTCGCAAAATTAGAATTCAGTAAATTTTTCACCGCAAAATTTCTTCATTCAGCGATTATTAAATTATTCTTTTTATTCCAATTAGTTTCTCTCATCCATGTGCAGATAATTTTTTCTTCATTTTTTAAAAAACCATCTAGGATTAATTTCTGCTGAAACTAATAAAGCTAAAATGCAAAAGAAGTTTTGTTTATAGTTGTTATTACTGAGGAAAGAAAGGAATAAAACAAGGGCGATTTTGGAGAGGAAGTAGGGAGAAAATTTAACCATTTGTATATTTGGAAATAAACTTATTTCTGCAATTGGTACAACAAAAAGAAGGAAAAAAAGATAAGAAAACAAAACAAATAAATTTGTCATAACAAAAATCTCTTCACGCATATATCCATGTTTATCATTTTCTTTCCTTTTTTTCCCTCTTTTTGTCGCTATCAAAGTGTTTTCTTTGGTTAAAAAGAATTTTTTCTTTCTTTTTTTTTTTACATAGTCAAAAAATATTTCTATGAATTAACTGAATACAATTGTTTTTTTTTTCGTCAAGCGGTATTTTGGAAATTGAACCTCTGAAATTTACTGAACGAGTGAAAAAAAAAAAGGCAAGAGGAGAGAAAAAAAACGAGGCAAAATAAAAAGCTCATTTTTTTTATCATCAAAATACCTTTACCATTTTTAACTGGAATATCCCTCTAATGATTTATAGATCTTTCTTGATTTTCTCTCCCTTCTTTCCTTCTGCGCAGTTTTTTCTGCATTTTCATTCTAAAATATTACACTAGAAAGAAGAATTATCACTATTTGGATGAAATAAAACCACCAAACACAATTGGAAGTCAAATCGAAAACAACCTTACAACAGTTGAAACAGTTAAAAAACTAAACAGTTTTAAACAAACTTCAGTAGGTTTTCATCCGAAGACAAAAATACAACAATACCAACTTAACAGACGACTGTTAAGCGGACGGCAGTTACCGATACTACAAATATACAGTGATTCCAAACTACTACTTTCACAATCATCGTCGCTTTCGCTACTCCTACCCCCCAGCATTACCATCATCACCACCACCAACACTACCTTCAATCAACAATACAAGCAACAAACGAAAGTTTCATCAGCAATGGACGGTTACAACTTGTTGTGGACAGAAGTGATAAAAAATAGCAAAAAAAAAAAATAATAATTATAATAATAACGATACCTGCAGCTTTTTCTTGTAGAGACCGGGCAACGACAAATTTGCTGTTAAAACTTTTGCCTGAAGTGTATGCACCTGATCTAGCAGCCATCGATGAGTCTCCTCGATGTCTTCTTGTTGTTGCTTTTGAAAATCGGACATCCAACAACGCCGAATAGATTAGATAGATAGATAAACAGCAATTTTTTTCTTTTTTTTTTTACGCTTTTTTTGGTTTTTTTCCTGTTTCTTTTTTTTTCTTCTGAATTTTAAGATGTTCTGTCTGTTGCTGTTGTTGTCTTGATTTTTTATCAAATTTCTTTATTTTTTTTGCTGAGTCTTTCTTCACTGTCCAATTATTAGTCTCTTGTTCTTGTTGTAATTTTTTTGCAACTTTTATCCTTTGATTATTCTACAATACCGCTTTATCAAC